CAGGGGAGGACATCCATCACACTGTAATCTTGTGCGTGGGAAATTAATGTCTCCTACCCCTAACCCTGCAGGAGACGGGACCTCCATTTATTCGTCCCTATCCGAGAAGACTAGAATAATCTAACCATTTCTTGATGTTATAGAAAGGTAGAATATTAATTACTCTTCTGAATTATATTTAATTAAGACCTTGAGTGTTGGTCCGGCCGGGGCTTGAATCCTCTACCTCCTGCACAACAGTCCAGCGCTCTATCCATTGAACTAACCAGGAGGCGGTTTAGAACAGTATGGAGAATATGCATACTGATAATAGAGTGTAAAGAGTTGAATAACTGATTTCAAGGGTGTAAAGGGCTATTAGGCTTATTTTTAAGAGGCACTTGATTTTACTCCTGGGTAGAGAGAGGCATCTTCAGAGTTAAACCATTTAATTCTCAAGATCTGATTGTTAATTCTCCCCTCCAGCTGATACACATTTCCTTGGAAATTAGATACAAGAATTTTGTGTTCGATCAAGATGACAACTTCAACCTGATAAGTTTGAGTCTTCTCATTACCTGTTTCCTGGATAACTTATGGATATTTTAGGGAGAAGTTGCCTGTTAATCACTTCCAGGAGTTAAAAGGTTTTGAAGCATGTGGACTTCTTAATTTCTTAATCAACTTTTATTTTCTAAAGCTTAAAGCCTCAAGTTGATAAAACAAAACAAGAAACTACAACTGTGTCATTTGCAAAGGAAAGTGGAAAAAAGATCATTGATCCTAGTAAGTAAATGCAGGTTTTTTTGTTTTGTTTAATTTTTGAATTTAGTGACGATAGGAAACCTTCTAGAGGAGAGACCTTTTAATTATATATGCCCCCAACACTGTTTTTTAATTTCAGCCTTGCTGTATTCAAAGTTCTCAGAAATCCTGGTTGTTTTGAGAAACTTCTTTGATGGAAGTAGGAAAGAAGATGAGGAAAAGTCAAAGGAACTCAATGTGTCAAGTTCTTTACTTTTTGCTAAACTGGGTAAGTTTCATCAAGGATTTGTATACAGTCTTGAATTCCTGAAAAAGTACATGGAAATTTTAATTTCCTTTACCCTGGAAAAATAGAAAATAATGTGCTGACAAATTGCAGACAAAAAAAAATCATGTTCAAATAGTAGAGACGAGATTATAATTCAACACCTAGTATATTAACCAATTATCAATTACCGTATTTCTTCACCTATAAGCCGATCTCGGCTATAAGCCGAGACCCTGACTTTCAGGGTCTTTACGCTACACTCAAGCTGCCCAAAAAAAAAGGTAAAACCATCGGCTATAAGCCGAGAGCGAAATTATTGATTGTAACTGGCCATTTGAGCAAGCGAACCTCACGGAAAACATAAGAAATTGACTCACTAAACACAAAACCTAATGAATTACAATAAACACAAAAGAAAAAAAGCGAACCAATCAAGAGATATGAATATCAATTGATCCAACGAACTGTATAAATACTACCACGCGACAACAGATTAACCACAACAACAATAATAATCTCAGTTAAACGTTTCAAAGTATCAATCTATCGAGTATACCTTTCGTCGCTGTCACTTTTTATCATCATGCCTAAAGCACGCCGTTCCTCGTATAGTATGGCTTTCAAGATAAAAGTTATCGCGGAAGCTGAAGCGGTAGAAAACAACTCGGAAATCGCTCGAGAATATGGACTAAGCGAGTCCATGGTACGACGCTGGAGAAGAGACCAGGCGACTATTCTTTCCGGAGAGCTGAAGATGTCTGCAAAACGTGCGACGATGGGCCGTTTCACTCCGAAATATCCCGAACTAGACCAGCAAGTGATGGAGTGGTTTTCACAGCAAAGAGAACAAGGTTGGTATTTACTTTTCTGTCTAAAATTTTAAGAGTTTTTGAAGAGTTGAATGATATCGTCTTTCAGTGCGTGGGAAACAGAGACTTTGATTGGTCAGAAATATGTTGTTGTCATGACAATTTCATAACATGTCACGAAAAGAGTGCTGCAGTCACGAATCTACGGTTATCTCGCAGCAAAATAAGATTGTTATTTTATTTTTCGTAGGTATTGCGGTGAGTGGATTGATCCTTCGCCTTAAAGCTAAAGAGCTCTCCGATGATCCTGCTTTCAAAGCTTCCCGTGGATGGTACGAGAAATGGAAACGACGCCACTCGGTCAGCATGCGAACCAAAACAACTCTGGCCCAGCGATTGCCCGCCGATCTCGAAGAGAACATTGTGTGCTTTCATCGCTTCGTCATTGCAGCAAGAAGACGCGCCGACTACCCTTTATCCCGCATCTACAACATGGATGAGACACCCATGCGTTTTGAGCTGCCATCGAACCGAACACTGGAATTCAGTGGAAGCCGAACAGTGCCAGTAAAATCTTGCGGAGCGGAAAAGCGGAGCTTCACCGTCGTTCTTGCTGTTGCTGCCGATGGAGCAAAGGTGCCACCGAAAGTCATCTTCAAAGGCGTCCGTACACCGAGAGATCTGGTTGTGCCGCATCCTTATTCTGTTTTTTGTATTTATAAACAAGTTTTATTTCTTATTCTTCAGGTGAATATGTATGGCCTGATCTGTCAGAAACTATTATTGCAGAGTGTCTCAAGAAATCAGTTCCTACCACAAGTGCACAGGTATACCAACTTAATTCTTGGATTCACATTTTTAACTTCATCTAGTACACACGGTATTTTTGAAAGTTAACCACTATTTTCCAAACCGGGAATTCAACACATTGGGATTGTATGAGGACTTAAGCAGGGATCCTTTCAAACTTCTGCCAATAATCTTGCAAGATCCTTCAGTGTGTAGTGGAATTCAGTATATTACATTAATTTTATTCTATATATTTTTTTTTTAGTTGGAAAAGTACCAAGATGTCATTAAAACCACTGAGGAATTTGAGATAAATCTTGTGTCTTTAGGTACAGTACTGAAAATTTCTTTTAACAGTTTGTTGTCTTTTCATGATGCCCAACTTGTTATCATTGCAAAAATCAAATTATTGGTTCAAGCAGCTATTCTTTTGAGCTCATGTTTTGGTTTGTTGCTCAAATATTTTGTTATCATACAGGTTTAGTCCCTAAAGGAACAAACAATCTCACATCATATGCAAAGGATGTTGGTATTCACTTTGGGAACAAAAAGGTATATTAAGTTTGTTTCTTGTCTTTTAATTGTTTTAAGGATCTTGACTGTTTTAATCATCAGGAATTCATTGTTTTAGTCTGACTTCAAGTTCTGTTCTTTTTTTTTTTGCTTTTAATTGTGATTTTTTAGTGCCAAGATCTTCTTGTCAGGGCACGTGATCTGATGAAAGATGACATTCACAACACTGTGTTGGTGGACAGCAACAAAGACAAGGGGGTTCTATTAAGTTTGGGTGATATACAGAAAGCATTATCAGATAACAAGAAAGGAGTCAAGGTATTTCACAAACATTGTTGCAATTTTGCCTCATGTTTTTAAAAATTCAGTTGTAGGTTGCTTGAGAAAAATATTCTCCTCATTGATATAGCTGTACTATGCTGTATGGTAACCATATTTTGTATGGTCATTCAAGTTTTGGTTCTGTAGAATCTATGATAAATCCCTAATTATCAAGTGGCAAGTAGAAGAGATTTCTTAGAAGGCCTATACTTGTCTTGAAAATATGAGCCATCAATTCATAATCATATCTTTTTTCAGCATGAACCATTGCAGAGAGATCCAACCAACACCCTAAGCAAGTTTACATTCTGCCTTCCATCCTGCCGAATCAGTGAGAGTACAGAGAAACTGATGAATCTGGCTTACAAAACTTTGATAGAAGCAACACAGTCCACCCCACAATGGTATACACTGAAGCAACAATATCACTAAAAGTCTTGTAAAGCACAGTTCTGCCTTTTAATTTTAATTAATACTCACTTTATGTTAAGTTTACTTGCTTTGTTTTTTTTCCTTTTCCAGTGCTATTCAGCTCTTCTACAGCGTTCGGAACATGTTTGAGTTATACTGTAACGTTGTACCTACCTATCATCAAAAGCACTTGGTGAGTTTATGACCCATTCATTCTTTTAGAAGTCAGGGTGTACCCACAACATAGCAGTAATTCAACCCTGCTGTAGAAAATAACATTCTACAAATCTATGGTGTTCTTGGTGAAACCAAAAGGGGGATCTCCTTGCTTTGTTCTTTAGCAAGTTTTTTTTCTTTCTCACAAATTGTTCCTTAAAGGGAGGAGTATGAATTGACATGCGTGACTTACAAGAAAGGACTGGGCATAATTTTTGGGGTTAACCATTCATACACTTAGTCTATTTGCGAGACTCATCACAGTCACAAGGTACAATTGTGTTCAGTGTCAATTCTTTTTGCACAAATTTGGAGTAAAACATATACAATAAACACCAGCATATAGTGCATAACAGTCTGTTCTGCACTGCACCAGTATCATAGAGATCATATGGGTTCAAACTCCGTACAGGCTTGAATTTTTTCCAGGCCTTATTTCCACTACGACATAATTAGGGTTCATTACTGTGAGGATCATTTCCATACATTCTGTTCTTCTTGAAACCCCGGTTAGCTCAATTGGTTAGAGCGCCGGATTGTGTTGTGCAGGAGGTCAAG